AAGCAATTGATGCAGCAAACACACAACAACTCATCAGAGCAATGTATCAGCACAAAGAACACATTTTCATATTCATTTGATGCTAATTGTGAGTGTCTTTGGGAAGAAGAGCATGTAGCTTAACAAACTTAAGCACAGCCTAGTCCGGGTTTTTTAGAAAAGCGTAGGTGTGCATTGTTGACAGCAATTATTTTTTCAACTTCTGCCTTTGTCAGGGTGTGGGTGATGGCTTCATTAAAAAGCAAATGGGAAGAAGAGCTCTTTTGTCATATTTCAGAGAAAGCAATAAGTTACTGAAATTATTTGTGCTTGTGATGAAGGGGAAATTCATTTCTTTATACATTTTCTTCAAATTCTTCTAGAGAGAATTAAACTTTGCATAGAAATGATGTATGGTGACTTTGGTATCTGTTTGTTTTTAGGGATTAAAAAAAAGAGATGAATTCTACACACTAATTGTCCTGGGAGTCACCCCATCTACCAACAGACAGCTTTTCTATGTTAATAGAAATCAACATTTGAATCAGACAGTTTGTAGTGTCAATTCTAAGGCTTCACTTTCCATATCTAAAACAATTTTATGTTGTATACCTGTTTCACTCATCTCATGAACATGTTGATTTGGTTCACACATTGCCGAAGGCCACAACTTACTTCACAATGGTTTACTGATCAAGTGATGCAGTTTGAATGGGCGCTCTACCTGGCTATGAACCTCGCTGAGAAAATAGGCTCATTTTTAAAAAAAAAGTAAGATATTTTTATTCTTAAAATAATGAAATACAAAGGAAAACAAGATCTACGCTGGATAATAACACAAAAACAACTACTAAGCATACATAAGACATTTATGAAAAACTTTCTAGAAGCACACTTGCCCCATTCCTTTTGTTTATTCCCCCAGTTGCTGAACACAAACTAAATATTTATATTTTCCATTAAAAACAAAAGATTGTTGCTAGTATATATTTAAGTCTTTTCATCTATTGGTTTTGAACGGTCTCATTATGTTTTCCTTCAAAGTCATATTCCAAGTGCTTCAATTTGCCCTGCTGTATAATATGTAACACATACAGGAGCCATTTTTGATTAAATTGGTTGAGCTTCTATACTGATAATTTTGACATTGTTGCATATTATCCAATATTGGTGTTACAATCTGATTTAACCAACAAAGTTCGCTTTTTTCCAATGTTGTTGCAGATTAGCTCTTATAATTGTCAGCATTTATCTTAATAAATTGTGATATTTTTTATTTAGGTTTTCTTGAATTATACCTAACAAAAATCTTTTAGTTTAGCTAAAATGTGATTTTTTTTATTGATTTTCTGAACATGTTATCTTTTTCCCCAGTACTTTTGAATTCTTTTATACAACTACCGCATAGGACAAAAAGTTCTGTGTCTATTATGGCATTTCCAATATTTATTTTTATATGATTTTTCTAATTTGGTCATTATTGATAGATTTATATACTGTATCATCCTTATTGTTGCAACTATGATCATTTCTTATAAGTTTTGCATTAACTTCATCTTATTTTTATTTGTTCCATTTTCATGTCATATTTCAATAACAATTTGTTTATTTGTCCTAACAGGTGATCTTAGTTTTGTATGAGAGTTACAAATTCAATGATCTTTTTCAAAATAATTCCTTCCATCTTGAGATCACTTTTAAAAAGTAAATACATTAAGCAAATTCCTACCTTCATTGAATAGTTCTGCCTATGTTTCCTGAATCTTGATATTGGCCTGTATGATTAAATCTTTCTTACAATAGTTGTCCTTCGAGTAAATGATATTGGACGATGAAGGTAATGGGGAACTCCAGATTTTATATCTGGAGAATTCACCAAGTCTATATTTATTTTCATGAACTTTTTAATAATTCCCTGTAATTGAATAATGGTACATTATTGTACTATGTCATCTGCATAGCATTTCAACTTTTATTCTCTCTGCACTTTAATCATAAGTATTTGTCTCTCTTCTGAAGCAATTTCAAATAATAAGAGAAAGAGGTGCCTGGTGTCTTTGCTTACTGGAAAAGTTGTAATGAGTTTTTGTTTGCTATAATCTTTGTTTGCTATTGATATATGATATACACTCAAATTTTAAATTTTTCTCTTGAATGAATTTTGTTTAAAATGAAGATAGCAGTTTGAATTTTTGTTCAGTAACCATGAACATAATACAATACAAACAAATATTTCTCTGATCAGGATCAAGCTACTTTCAGTCATGATTGATAGTTCACTATGTTTTTCATTTATTCTACTCTATTGAATTGTTAAGAATTTAAAGAAAAAAACTGGTTTGTAAACTAGATTGAGACCACTATTTAAGTTGTATACTTTTATTTCAGTTCTGTTTGACGTTTCAACATCAGATGTTCACAGCTGTTTCTGTTACGTGCTGTTTACTATTAATAAAGACAAGGTTAGGAAACATTTTAAGTATAAAATGCTCCCGTCTATGACAACGTGTCACTTGGAGTCTCTGGCTCCAAATTAATTATGTCCCAGATTCCTTTGTAAAATTGAAGCTACATGTTTTCTTCCATATTTAATTATACAAGTATAGTTTAAATGTCCTTCAGAGTGAAACATTATATTACAGGTAGTCTTTGACTTATAACAGTTAATTCAGTAAATGTTTAAAAAATGTTTAAAAAGTGACTTATGACCATTTTCCACACTTGTAGCCACTGCAGTATTTCCATGGCCATGTGATTTATATTTGGATGCTTAATATCTGACTCACATTTATGATAGTTGCAGTGTCCTGGGGTCACATAATCCAACGTTCAGACAAGCAAAAGTCAATGGGGAAACCAGATTCATTTAATAACTGTGTTACTAACTTAATAACTGTAGTGATTCAGTTAACAAAATTGTAAAATGGGGATATAACTCACTTAACAAATTTCTCACTTAGCAACATAAATTTTCTGCTCAATTGTGGTCGTAAGTCAAGAACTACCTGTACTTGTATGTCTCCAGGCCAAACTGCTGCTGGTTTCTGACTTAATATTTCTCCTATTGAAGTTGTTTATCTCTTATCTTCTTTACAGGAAACTGAATTAAGAAAGTGGTAGAAAATGGTGGGAGTTGATAGCATATTCTGTACATTCATAGTTTGCTAAGCAAGGCTGTCAGAGGTGGTAATACTTCACCCGTCCCCTTAGTCATTGCTTGGAAAATTTTACATATGTGTGCAAAAGAGCCTATCCTCATCCAGCTGCCAGATGCATGTACAGCCCCCAGAATTGGTCATTTGGATTGATAATTACAAGAATGATCCCACACATCTGTACTTTCAATGTGTCTGGAGGTCGGGAAAGACTAGAATAGTATGTAACCAGGCACCAAAGCTATACCCTTCTTCTACCTTCTTCTCTTGACTAAGATGCCTTTCTGTCATAAAAACCATCCTCTGTGAAATAATGGAGAATGTTTCTTTACTTGCCCCGTCTCTTATTCCATATGAAATGACAGCTGGACTGAGTGGGCGCAATGTGGAAATTAATGTGTGGAAAGACATGGTGACTCACCGGAGACTGTTTAAAATCAAGCCTTCTCCTCCAGTATTTTAGCACATGGCTTCTCTTCAGTTTGCTCAGACAGGGCAAGAGGCCATCTGTGGGAGGGAAGGGGTAGGAGAAGAGGGCTGAGAACTGAGGCAGAACGTTCAGCATATTAAAATGAAGATGGATTCAGCTGAGGAGGGGAAACTTGTATTTGTATTTCTAGCCATTTATGAATTTCAGGTTGATAATTTATAGCCAGCAGATTCCCTATGTGATAGTCACAATCCATTTCGATGTGTAACCCACACATATTTTAGTAAGGGATGTGGGGGTAGGGGGAGAGAAGTATACTAATGCAATTGTGAATTATGTATGCTTGATCTTTAGGTAGAAATTAACTGTTGTTCTTTATTCTGAAATCAATGCATGGCTTGAGAACGATGTTTGTTCTTGGATTTGTTGGTACATTTATAGAAGAAATAGTTACATGAGTTTCATTCCAAAGACTTCCAATCAAGCCTTTTTGTGAGCTTGCTCAGAAGTGAATTCAGTGGGGTGTAATTTTTTTTTATCAAGCTTCATTTTTAGACACACAGACCTGTGGCTGAATCCCAGTTGAAATTGGCTTTCAATTAAACATACATAACACATACTTTCTTGAATTTATAGCCCGGATTTGCCAGAAAACAGCCCTGGCACACAGTTGGGACAGCAGTGAGGAGACATGGTTCGTCTTGAAGACTCGCTTCATTTTTCTCATTGCCAAATCTTTCTCCAGCAGTTCAAAATTGCCAAAGAAGGCATGTTCTGAAATAAATCAAAGTGAAGCAATGTAGCTGTTTTGCTCTTAGAAATTGGCATTGATGTTGGGGAATATTATTACATTATGGCTCAGAAATGCTTCATTTTCACAATAGTATCCAAGCTCCATATGTGGGTGATATGTTCAGTTTCTCAGTAGGCATTATTTTGATGAGGCTACATTAAAAAACATAACTGTGGTTTGAATACTGTGGAACCTATGAAATACTTTCAAATAACTTTTTTTATCAGCATTTTGAAATGATGCCCTTCAATAATCTTTATAAAAGGTTTAAGGAATTAAATCCAATTCCTTAATTTGTTAAACAATTAATGCTTTCATCTTTTACAGTGTGTCAAATCAGAAAATCAAAGACTGGTGCATTTGTTTTAAATCAGCCTAAATGGTTAAGGGAAATGAGAAAACCCCAATTTTGTTGCTCTAGAGGGAAAAAAAAGTGCAGTATTGTTTCCAGTCTTCTTTTTTCTAAGGAAGGTTGCCAGGACTTCCATGGCATCCTATTCATATCTACGAGTGCATTTAAGGATCGTCATTACAAGTTTGGCATGTAGTAATTTTACCTTCAGAATTGATGATGTACTCTGGGTTGTTTCGGTAGGAACATGGGCAATACACTCTCCTGATTGTATCATTTTTATTTCTGAAGGTGTTTTCAAGTCAGCAGAAATGGAACCACTGAATGGAACAGATGGCCAGCCAGAAGAACAAAGCAAGACAGAACCACCTCTGAAAAGTGTTGAAGTGTCTCCATACCATCGCTGGGTGACCTGGTGGAATGGGATGACAACAAGTGGAAATCTGTATCTCTTTATCCTCTCCCTGTTCTTGGTAAGGATTCTATCTTAATTGGAATGGACGTTGCTTTCTGACAAAAGAAAAGGAAAACATTGCTTTTGTTTTTTTTAGATTCATACATTTTAGGGGCAGATTTCCCACGTCATAAATGCTGATATAGCTGAAATTAAATCAAAAGATGTGCCGTGTTACATCAGGTAACTCAGTCTTTTTATTCAAGTTAATTTTGCAGCTGCAAAAAGCCTCTGCTTTAAAAATAGGCATGGTTATAAATAGAAGATTATTAATTGAAATCGTGGATTTGCTATTTAACATTTAAAAAGTGCAGTAACCTCACTGTTCATGATCTGTTTAAACCACAGGTTTTCTTCTTTATGTTTTGGTGTGGTGGATGTGAGACAATCCCAGCAGTTCAGGATATTTTGGCTGTCTTGTCCAAACTTGTTCATCCATCACAACTGTTGGATTCCAATTCTAACAAGGTGTGTTCGGTGATTTCAGTATACTTCAATGTGGTGTATCAATGATCTTTTTGGTAGTGCTAATATCTTCTTAGATGAAATATTAATAATTCATGTAATGCATAAAGTAGTGTTCGTTATACATTATGAATAGCTTCTCTAGCTAAATGATGAATAAAGGAGCAGTTTTGAACTTGACATTAGCACTGTACAGACCTCATTGAACAAATGGAAACTGCATAATATTTCCTGTTAAATGCACTACAGTGTTTATAAAAGACAGACAAGGATATTCGCTTTGAATGAATATTTGTGTCATTTCTTTCCCGTTTCTCAAAAGGATGTTTGGAAACAGCTACTTTCAACATCACATGACTGAATTTCTATTTGCAAATTATACTTCCCTTTTGTTTGTCCCATTGGTGCTTTTTCAAGAGGCAATTCAAGAAGTGAAACATCTTCAAAGAGAGAGAGAAAAAAAGAGAAAAAACAGAAAGTCCAGTTGCCTCTTGAAAAAGCATCTTTGGGGCAACCATGACCTGGATTACTGAGAATCTCCATAGACTTTTCCCCTTTTTTTTATACCCTGCCTTCCTCAGTCTATCCTGTGTGCTTTCCGGATCCATTTCAAAAGATCTTCCTGGGCAGATCTGGGGTTCTCAAGGGGACACTAGAGTGAAAGAGGAACTTCATTCAGTCATGATTGAATGTAACTTCTTATAATTTCCTGAAGTTAAAAAAACCCAATGAACATCACGATTCCGATATATAAGTTATAAATGCCATTGTTTTACTCTTGGTGTAAAACTGCTTTATTCATACCTGAATTATGTCAGCTCAGGAAAACTATCTGAAAGCAATATCACAGTGATAATATAAAGTATAATTGGATTGCATTTTCTGTGATGGGTTGTAAAGATTTAATAGCTTGGAGTGCTCTGAGTTATTGCTACATCCTTATTCATCTGAGTCCCTTTTCTTTATTCATTGCTCTTGGCTATACCTCTGACTCATTTCTTCTCTTTTATTGGCCTTATGACACCATACAGATTGGCAGTCCTATCATAATCACTTCCTTTCTCCAAGCTCTAATTGTACATCTTTTGCCACTATAGTTGCTGTTGCAGGGCCCATTTTTTTTTGTAGACAGTAATGTGTTGTAAAAAGAACATTAGCAATGGGCTTATAACAGAAGAACAGAATTGGAAGCAACCTTGGAAGTCTTCTAGTCCAACCCTCTGCTCAAGCAGGAAAGCCCCTACCATTTCAAAGAAATAATTGTTCCAATTTCTTCTTTAAAACCTCCAGTGTTGGAGAACCCACAACTTATGGAGGGAGGTCGTTCTTAATAATTGTTCTGTCAGAAAATTTCTCCTTAATTCTAGGTTGATTCTCTCCTTGATTAATTTCCATCCATTACTTCTCATCCTGCTTTCAGGACCTAAGCTGGAACAATTACAATTTGTCTTCTACCCCTTTCTCCCTAGAGGTATGGAGCTTTAGCTGCTAACAGGAATGTAAATAGAGCTTTCTTGTCCCTAAAGGCAAATCTTTCAAACAGGGGTCACTTAGGTAGGGTGAGTGAGAGAGCTCAGGTGCTGAGCTCCTCCTAGGCTGTGGCAAATGATGGATGGATGGGAGAAAAATAAGACACAGAGATGTTCGTTTCCTACTGCTGCTCCTCCATCTGCAGCAGTAGGACTGAACCAAACAGAAGACTTATGTGGCCAGGAATGAGAACTGGAGAAGCCACCAAAACTTCTCCAAGCTCTGCCTCTACCACATAGTCTAGTTCTTCCTTCCTCTCCATTTCTGGGTGATCTTAGTAGTAGCAATGATTATAGAAGTGATTCTGTAGAGAATAAAGAGGATGGTCTTGACAAGAAAGGGAAGATCAAGGGAACAAGCAGATTTTGTTACTATCGCCCATCTTTATTAAAATAATTTTAAATCTATGTGGCGTCTGTTTCTTGGTCTGGTTTACCTTTTCAAGTAGAACTCAAGAACGTGAAACAAATTCTCACTCAATAGAAGTTTATTCTCAAGTTGCTTTCAGAAGTCAAGGAGAAATGGTAACAAAGACAAATGGTTTGTCCTGAACAGAGATTCTCTCTTGGGAATTAATTGTCAACAATTAATTCACAAGAGTTATCAGTGCTATCTTTGTTTTATGCTCAAGTATGGATCTGGATTCCAAAGGATTTAGATAATCTTTTTCCAGCATACTCCAGAATTATTCAGTGACCAAGAGTAGGTTATAGCTTGAGTAATAATTATGAAAGGTGTCTGGGTTTGGAGAAGACCTCCAAGGAGTGGCGAACTACAGCCCCTTTTAAAGTTGCTAATGGTACCTTCACGAGAAGTTAAGCCGTAGTCATTGTCTCATCTCAGGGCCTTTTCTCTATTGAGTGAACCTTTCATTATCTATTTCAGAAGTCAAGAAAGGTGTGCTTAATTATCACAGATGTGAAACTAGCAAGTTTTTGACATTTATGCTTCCCTTGGTTTCTTCCTGTTTTTTTATCATATTTCAGAAACTTATAATTTCACATTGTTTTTCTGAATCAGTTCATAACATCATACACGATTTAAATAGCCCCCAGTTACCGAGGGGAGGTTAGTTGTAGTTGGATGAATTGGAAAAAGTTTTTATTTTAACGAGAGAGGGAAAATAATTTATTTTCAAGTTTGAATTGTTAATATTTGGTCAAAAAAATAAAATGCTTTACATAATTTTACAGCCACCTTCAGAACAATTTCATACATTACATTTTCTTGCATGCCTCTCTGGGTCTTTCACTACCCTAAAATAACTGTAGGTTTATATTTCTCCTTAGAATCTGATCAGAGATGAAGGTATCACGGTGTCTTGCCTCATGCTGTCTGTCTTCTCCCTTGGCTTGCTACTCGTAGCAACATTGGTAAGCTGACATCTTGGAAGCATTTAATTTCAGTTGAAGAGTTTGCTGAATAAATTAATAATTTCTGAGTTTCCTTAGAATGTTCTACTGGTGAAAAATAAGCTTAAGTAAGCCCTAGCAATGTACGTATATATTTCCATAAACATTATTCTTTGATAGATTCTGGGAATTAGACAATTGTAGGGTGCCCTCTGTTATTTTTGCCAAAAAAAAAGGTTTTTAAAAAAATCATTTACTAGGGTAATTAGTCCTCTCAATAAAAAGACTGATGTGGGTAGTAAGATTAGCTTTGCTGTACAGTTCATTTGCTCTTTGCAAAGCTCTTATTCACCAGATTTATTGTTTGACCAAATAATAAGCTACTACTGAACAGCAGGATAATCATGCATATTAAAATGCAAAGGACGAGCTTCTAAATTGACAGTGAACTATAAAAGGTTCAAACCACTTCTACATGAGATATTCCCTATTGTAGAGCGAACACAGTCAGAATAAGAACAGTGGGATTAATCCAACTGAATTTTTTATTGAGTTCTACACTTTGTTCCTATTTAATTTTTAATTAAGAACATCAGAAAGTAACAAAAAGTACAGGGAAAGGTTCTTACAGTGTAAGTTTAGATGTACACCAATATTAACAAAATATCTTGAAGTCTTTACATTCAGTAGTTCATATGATCAGCTAAGTTATGAAAATACTTGACTATGAAATGTTATTAAGTGTTAAATAGAAACCGGGATCAACCTAATTTATACAATTAAAGTGTTCCTTAGTTCTACTTGATGGAGAAGAACCTATATTTGACATACCTTGAATATTTAGAACTTATCTTTTATAGTTTAAAATTCCCTCCCACACTACTATTTTGTATTTTCAATATTTATGAAGGAACTCCGTTATATTTCAAGAAACAAAATTTCCATTACTCTGATTTTCTTGAGAGTTCCACAATGTGCAAGGCAGTATGTTTTCTTAAATTGGCCAGAGTGTATTGCAATGTAGTCACATCTGCTATGGAAGCCAGTGTTTCGGAAATGACTATACAGTTCCTAAGTCTGATCCCTCCTTTCTTACAGTCTCCTCTGTCCATGCTCTTCCCTGCCAGGTTCACCATGACTAACTACCTAAAATGAATTGTGATTGGAAGCTTCTGATTGAAACTAGATTGACAACATTGTCAAAATATGTTCCATCAAGTGCTTAAGTTTTTGGTTAAGTATGTATGACCAAAATTACACCCTGAGTTCCCGGAATGCTAAATGTTAAGCCAACTACAGAATTTATTTTTATTTATTTGTTAAAATTATTTCCTGCTCATCTCGTAATGGGCTACTTTGGACAGCTTACAATAGTAAAACAGAAAAATAAAATAAAACATAACAATAGCAAAGCAATGAAACAATAAAAATAAACTGGGAAAGTACAATAATAACAATTAAATGATAGGAGGAACAAGAAGCATAGTGGGGAGGTGGGGTCAACTGATTAGTCTAATTAGTCTAGATTACTTTATATTGCTGTCTAAAGTTCCAGGGTAAGGTTTAAAACACTGCACACAAACAGATGCCTAAAAAGGTGAAAAAACTTGATAATGAAATCGGAACCAAACCAATGGCTAAGAAATAGAGCGCTGATTCCCCCCCCCATTAAACTTAGAGTACAGTAGTACATATCTTTGTAATGCAGTGATTTTATAAATAAAGAAAAAGAAGTAGAGCATAGGACATATTTTCCTCTGCCCAGCAAGCAGCTGAACTGTGAGGAAAAGTCAGCAGGGAACCATGGATTCTCTGAAAAAGAGGTCAAGAGGGATCATGCATACCTCTAAAATAGGGCATTTCTCCTCCTCAAAGTCCGTTTATCCTTATTCGTTTTCCTTATTAAACACAGCCCTGTTCCTAATGCCAGGTTTTGGGTGGAAACAGAATAATTGTTGATGGAATTGGAAGTTATTTGAATGCTACATTTCTTGCAAAAAAAAAAATGCACGGATTTCTTGACCCCCTTTGTTCCTTTTTGGTTCTAATGGTCTTTGCAGATTTTTGAAACAATACAAAAACCAGTTTATAAGAGATTTTTTAAAAATGGAATAAGTCAACACGAAGCTCTCATTCAAGAAGCCTTCATCTCTGTCATGGGGGGTGGGGTTGTTTTCATAATCCAAGAACGGTTCCTGGTAATAACCTAATTCACATGTGATGGTTGTGCATGTCATAATAGTGGATCACTGTGTAAAATACACGTAAGCATCCCTGCACATTTTCCAGGGTCTCCACTGTATTCAGTGGCAATTCTACTGAGAAAATTATTAGGCATAAAGCTTTCCATCCTGAGTGCGAAACTATAATAGACAATTCTCTTGTGACATACCGAGGCTCTGCATAGCATTTTCCTTTTCATTTCCTGTTCTCTTCAGCAGAATCCATCGGTTTCCTCTCTAGAGAGCATTAAATGCAGTAGAGTTTATTTTCTCATAGGTTTGGCATCTTGTGAAAGCTCCTCCAGATCCCTCATTTCCCCTCCAAGAGGACAGGCGACAGTCTGTAAGCCGTCAACCATCGTTCACTTATTCTGAATGGACAGAAGATAAAAACGATGATGACTTCCTTGATTTAGATCCTCTACCAGAGTCACCAGTTTTTGACTGTGTGATGGATATAAAAGCAGAAACAGATCCAGCAACTCTTACAGTTAAATCTGTAGGGCTGCAGGAAAGGTAAGGCAGAATGTGAAGAAATGCAATCAGCTGATCACAGGGCAGGGGAAGCTTAGCCATTATGAACAATCAACTTAAATTTGGACCAAATAAACCTGTTTTCTTTCAAAAATAAGCAATTCCCTCCTCAGCTCAATAATTAATTCCCAATTAATATTTATGGATGTACTCTATGAAAATGTTATGTATTTCTCAAATGGTATTAATATTGTTAAAGTGTTGAATTTCTGGTTATTGAACAAAAATAAATCTTACCTTGGAAGAAAATGAGCCATTTGTTATTCATAGAGTTCATTTGCCACTGATGCTTTTACCATAGTTTTTGATTTGTTTTGATAATCAGTGGCAATAAAAGATAGCTTTGAAATCAAGAATATGTCATTTGAGAGGATTATTTAGCCTTATCCTCACACCAACTTTCTCAGATATTATAGTCATTCCTCTACTACTCCAAACCTCACAATTATCTTTGTGGGAATGCCATGGAAAAGGCAGTGCATATCGCATTCATGCCTCTTTTCTCTTGCTGAGATGAATGATCTGAGAAAAGTCTTAGACAGGGTGGGTTATCATCTTCTAGGTCTCCATATCTTTGATCTTCAAGGCAAATCAGCTTAGAAAAAACCATAGAAAAGGTAATTCTACGATACTTGTGGATCTAAAGCCTTTGGCAAATTTTGACAATTATTATATTGTCTGTTATTCTTCTAATAAATAAATATGCTTTCCCTGACCTGTCTTCCTGGGGCATGAATCTCCATGAATCTTAATTAATAAAGAAGCCATGGTGGCACAGTGGTTAGAATGCAGGACTGTAGGCTACTTCTGATGACTTCTGGATGTCAGCAGTTTGGCAGATCGAATCTCACCAGGCTCAAGGTTGACTCAGCCTTCCATCCTTCCGAGGTCGGTAAAATGAGGACTCAGATGGTTGGGGGCTATATGTTGGCTCTGCAAACCACTTAAAGAGAGCTGTAAAGCACTGGGAAGTGGTATATACATTTAATTGCTTATATAAGAAGTATTTGTTTTAACTAGAATGTTTTTCTCTCTAAGTAGCATCCAACTCCATATTTCAACATTCTACACTCAGAAGGATAATATAATACAGGTAGTCCTTGCATAGTATCACTTGTTCAATGACTGTTGAAAGTTATGACAGCACTGAACAAGGAAACATTTGACCAGGCCTTGAAGTTGCAGCCATAATAGTGTCCCTATAGTCACATAATCACAATTTGGGTACTTGGCAACCAGTGCACAATTATGACCCAAAGTAGCATGATCACCATTTTCTACCTTCAGTGCTGGTTTCCAACAAGCAAAATCAGGGAGAAAACTGTCAGAAAGTCACAAGTCACATTCATGACTTGTGGTTAGAACTGCATTTGAGTCACTTAACAACTGCAACCAGAACTGGTGGTTGTAAGGTAGTCAAGTCACACAATTTCTCACTTTAGGACCATATTGCTCTGTGATGGAGTTGCCATTCCCAACTAGGGTCATTAACTGAGGACTACCTATAATTTTTGGTTATCACTAGGACTATTTGACTGAAGGTCCCAGCTAACCTTGTCATAGTTTTTTGACTGGAAGTACAGTATGTGAAGGTAGATGTAATATAATACATTCAGAATGCTAAACAATGTATGAAAATATATCTTGGATTTTTCATGTTATCTGGATCTGGATAGGGGACATGAGTGATTCACGCTGATCTGTTTCATAGCCTCTAACAGTTACCTCTGTATATCCAGGCGAGGTTCAAATGTTTCGCTCACGTTGGACATGTGTACTCCTGGCTGTACTGAACAAGGGTTTGGCTATATCATGTCTCCCAAGGATGATTCAGCTCAAGAATACCTTCAGACAGCATCAAACATTCTCACAGAAGAGGAGCTGCACCAGAAAGCTTTAGATTCTTTTGTTCTTCAGACAGAATTTTTTGTAAGTATTTTGATGTCCCCATTCCCTAATAAGAGTTGATAGTAGCATTAGCCAAACTGGAGCACATCAGTTCTCACAAGGAACTGAAGAAAAGTATAATATTCAGTGATAAATAAGACATTTTAAAAAATTAAATTCATTAAGCTCTAGGCCAGGGGTGTCAAACTTGATTTCATTGAGAACCACATCAGGGTTGTGTTTTACCTTGGG